AGGAGAACTTGAGCTGCTCTGGAGGGTGAGGAGTCGGCCCGGCAGGAAAAATCGGGAAGCTGGCGCTCCAGGTCAAGGACACAGTAGCCTTATTTGACAGCTTCCTGTTCTGGTCTCCCTGAGGCCCAGGAGCCCCCGAAGTATGCTCAGATTTTTACTTGTGTTTCTTAGACCCTGATCTGGGGTCGGCGGGGAGAGGGGTGGCACGTATCTCTTTCATTAGAGTTTTCAGATGAGCACATGACCCCCACACGGTCACAAGCTGGAGATGTCGGGGGCTTTGGGGGCTCCTGACAGGAGACTGGGCTGGCGGGGTCGCTGTCTTGACTGACCTTGCTCAGACCAGGCAGTGAGGGGAAGATTAAACGGATGCACTGAGCAGAGCCTCTCCCCAGGAGAAACGGGCCTTGCTTTCCGCCGGCCATTGGAGACGAAGGAAGGGGCGGGGTGCGGAGGGGAACACCTCGATTTCTGTCGGGGTTGATGGGAGAGTTTCGGGCACTCATCATGAGAAGGGACATGGGTTGGGTCGGTGGGCGGGGAGGCAGCTTAGGGGGAGTTGGCGGGTTCGTTTTTGGAAAAGCCAGGTCAGAGGTGGCTTAGAAGCAGGGGTCCTGAGCATGGCGACAGCTGGGTCCTTCCTTGGCGTTGGTTCTCAGCGGAGCAGAGGCCACCGCGTGTTGAGTAAGAGGGCCCAGAGGGAGCATGGGGGGCCAAGGAGAGAGCACCCACAAAAGGAAGACACAGTAGCCAGGAGGGACGAAGATGGGAGATGACATTCTTCCAAAGTCAAGCATGGAGGCGTTTTCCAGAACATCGGCTGGCTGATGTGTAGGGCTCCCGGGGGTGTTTAATTTAAACCTGAAGAGTGATTCTCTCGGAGAAATATCTGCTTTAAGGGGCGGTGTTGAAGGTGTGGCAGAAATTCCAGATAAGCCTCAGGCCCGAGCGGAGGGAAGGCTTTTACAGCCCAGGAGGCGGACGTGAATGCGCCCCCTCGGTCCCCGGTCCCCGCAGGAGTGATAAAGACGTGAAAGCAAGCTAGAGGCCGCGCGTCCGTCAGCCGCGCCCGACTGCTGGATGGGTCGCTTCATTAGGCAGCGCGTGATGCTGTCTGTCTCTGTCTCTGTGGAGACGACGCAGCCAGCGTTGGGGGCCCGTGGGAGTCATGCCTGGTTCTGCGCCTGTGTCCTGTGCTTTGCCCGACGTGCTACTTGCTCTTCTCCAAATGCACTGGGTTTCTCTGCCTTTCCGCTCTACCTGAGGCCGTGCCCGCCCTTCCCTTTTACCTGTGCTCAGCTGCGCTGCCTCCCTGTCACCCCCGCCCCCCACACCACTTCCGCTTTTGTCCAAGTCCTCCCCATTCTGCAAGGCCATCTCAAGCATCCCCTTCCCCAAAGTGTCTTGGGTCCCTTGGCTGGCAGGGCTCTCCCTGCGGCCTGTTGAGGCTGGGGATGTCCACACTGGGACTCCCTCTGGAGCCGGGGAAGGGGGAGCCCCTCGTCCGCCTGAGCCCCGCAGCCCCGGGCCTCCAGTACGCTGAGCACCGAGTACATTCTCGCTCCGTTGGATTCTGTCAGTGAAGTGAAGCTTCCTCCAGGGAGGCAACCTGGATTTCAGAAGCGCCTGGCTCAGGGCCTCGTAATGTGTTCTGTTCATGCCGCTTACGATGTTTGTGGCCTCTGGGCAGGGGCGTGAGGTGGCTTCGGACAGGTGGCTCAGGCTGATGGACACAGAAGCGTGTTCAGTTCTTCCAACTGTCTGAGGAGAGAAAGCCTCTTGAGACAGGCGGGCGAGGACACCCCCCCGGGGCACAGCAGACAGAGCAGGGAACTCTGAACACGGCCAGTTCGTAACCAGTGACTACGACTGGTGGCTAACTGGGCTGATTATTAACTTGTTTCAAAATAAAAGTCATTGCTGGCATTCGTGACAGGACGACTTCATTCTAATTGAAGCCCTTGGCTAAGAGCACCGGTTAGATCCTCTCTCTAGGTGTGGTTTTCTAAAAGCTATGGCGTGGTACTTAATCAGAAGCTTCATGGGTCTCTCTAGGGTCTCAAACTCGCCCCCTGTAGGGGAGCTTGTTGGTCTGAGTCCGACAGTACTCGGGGGCTTGACCTGTGTCAGATGTCCTAGCGGCCTCGGTAAGGCACGGATGGCTGTGCCCACCTGAGTTTCTGGTTCGGTAGATGGGACCCAAGAATGTACATTTCTAACGAGTGCTCCCAGGATGCTGAGGCTGCAGGTCCAGGGCCCCCAACTCTTGAACAGCACTGTGGGCCTGTCTCAGGCCAGGATTCCACGAAGCGGAGCCTGAGGCAGGGATTCGGGGAGTGCGCCAGGAGCCGACACTCTTCAGGAGGGAAGCGAGCACCGTGAGAGAACTAGGGGAGCCTGGTGGGAAGAGGGAGAGCCGGGCGCGTGTGGCTTTACTCCCGCTTCAATTTCATTAAAAAATAGACTTGCAACTCTAAGTTACAACTTTACTGGTTTTGCGAATTCCCTCATATATTTAAAAAAAAATTTTAATGTTACAATTATGTGGTTCATTAGTTTTTGACTCCTTTCCTTCAATAAACGTCACCTTGTTAGCACCTTCTCATGTCGCTAAGTAAACTTTATATTCATTACTTTAAAGGCCCCACATCCCATCTGATGCATCTGCTGCTATCTCCCCAGCTAGCTTGTTATGGATGCAGTAATGGTCCCCCAGATACGTCCACGTCCTGATCCCCGGAACCTGTGGATACGCAGCCTTCCATGGCAGAAGCGACGTAGAAAACGTGATTGAGTGAAGAACCTGGGCATGGGGAGGTTATCCCGGATTATCTGGGGGGCTCGATCTCATCACAGGGGTCCTTTTCAGAAGGGGATAGCAAGTCAGAGAGCAGGAGACGTGATGATGGAAGCCAAGGTTGAGGTGACGCGGGGCCATGAGCCAAGGAGCGCGGGCGTCTCTAAAAGCTGGACAAGGCGAGGAAGTGGACTCGCCCTGCCCACACCCTGGCGTTAGCCCAGCGGGACCCACATTGGGCTTCCGACCTCCAGAATGTAAGATGGTCCATCCGTGTTGTTTAAAGCACCAGGCTGGTGGCCACTGGTTACAGCAGCCCTAGGACGCTCGTGCACAGCCCCTGCCTGCTGACATGGCAACCTCCCTCCTCCCCGCCAGAGAGGACGGCACTTCCCGGTGGCTGACGTTCATCGTGTGTTCTGTTCCCGGCATCGTGCTGAGGCCTCGCTAGGTTTCCTGGGCTTTGGGGAAGCAGGCACTGTTTTCATCTGTTCCACAGTGAGAAACCACAGATGCTGAGTCACTTGCCCGAAGCCACGCACGGAGCGAGAGATCCTGGGACTCTGGGGCTATTCACACGACCACTGGTGCCATGGCGATAGTGGCCTGGGCGGCTTGAGCCCAGGGACTGGGTGGCCTTTGTCCTGCTCATTAACTGCCATAGCAGGTGCCGTTCAGCTGTTAATCCCACGCCCAGCCCGAAGGCGAGGCTGGGCGGGCGGTGGCTCAGCCTGCGTTCTGTGGATGAAGAGAGTCAGGGCGAGCACTCGGGGTGAGCACTCGGGTGAGCACTCCTCCACCGCTGGTGAGCGTGGGGCAGAGCTGGGAGGCAGAGCCAGGCCCGCTGGCCCCACGGCCTGTGCCTGGTCCTGTCCTTAGCACCACGCCACAGGACCAGAGCCACCTACCTTCCGTCTCCGTTAGCCACGTCGTCAGTGCATCGTCGTGCGTCGACTCAGCACAGAAATCCGTGTGACCTTTCGAGTCTCACATTGGTGTTTCGCGGAAAGTAGGCTGCGCATCATCTTGGTTGAGTGCGTCTGTCACTCAGTAACAGGCACAGGTGGACGCACTGCCACGTGTCTGGGCCAGAGCCGACCAGGCTCTGTCGTCACCTGTGCACAAGCCAAGACTTTGACAGGCTTTGGATGAGTCAGTGGTGGCCCTCGAATTTCCCTCGAGCCATGTCTGGACCCCTTTGCCAATCTGCCACACTGGGAGCTACTATACTGTGTCACTTGTCCCATAAAATGCTTTATGTTATATCGAAATGAAACCCATTTTAGAGACCTGCTTGTGCTCACCCCTTCTTTCTCATGACCAGCATCAGCAGAAGAACCATTCTTTGCAGACTCTTGAAAACTCATTTCCCCCAGAATATCTGCATCGTGGAGGCAAAGTTGTCACCCAGGGCTGGGAGACTGGGCCGCTCCGACTCTCGTCTTTCATTCTGCCTCCCTGTGTTTGATTTATGTTCCCGCATTAGCACCTAGACATCTGGGCAGGGGTCATGA